TCTCTCTCTCTCTCTCTCTCTCTCTCTCTCTCTCTCTCCTCCTCCTCCTCCATCTGTCTCTCTCTCCTACCCTGCTCTCTCTCTCTCTATGTAGCCCAAAAAAAAATAAAAAAATCCTCAAAGATGCTGGCGTCAAAACATGCTTACCCACTCAGTAATTTGTTTTATCTATCTTTTAACTTTGTGTTTTTCGTTTATTTTGTGACATGAAACAAATCATTTATTCGTCAAACTTTATTTGTAGATTCTTTATTATGTAAGGTACACATATATAAATTTTCATGGCATTTGTCACATCCAAAAAAAAAAAAGTAAAGTCGCCAAAGATGGCGGTGTCAAAAACGTGCTTTCGCACTTAAAAATCTCATTCTCGTTTTATTTTTTTGAATTTTTATTATTGTTATTAATTTTTAGTATTCAAATTTCGTAAAGAATTTGCATGTAATGTTGAGGCAAAAGTTGTTTACTTTATTCTTGTGCATAACATATATTTTGTTCAGATTTTTAAGATTTTTTTTTTTCTTTTTTTTTTTGCGTCGTCGTTAGGCTGAACACGTCGACAGGGGGTGTCGAACGTTCGACCATTTGGGTTCGAGCGTTCGGCCCGTCTTGAACTCCGGCAACCCTTTATATATAGGAGCGGGGGATGAGATTGAGAGGGATGTATTGGGTTCGAGCGTTCGGCCCGTCCTGAACGGCGACAACCCTACATATATAGTAGCGGGGGATAAAATAGAGAGGGATGTATCAGTGGTAAAAAAAAATTGAGAATGTCACTAGAGGTTTAGAGAGAATGTTATTTTCGTTGAGTAAGAACTGGCAGAGATGGATCCATCGAACATTTACTACTTGTGCAATGTGATTTGCAGGGGTGCGACTTGAGGTATCATCATCCTTGCAAGCTGGTGGTGGCGTGAATTTGTCCCTTGTCCTTCACAGGTACTACGATTTTACATTAGGGAGTCACCCGTAAGTTGCATAAAAAGTATGTAATCAGTTTGCAGGGAATTGGTCATATTGTTTGAATACAATTACCTCTGGATTTTGTGAGGACTTGGTCATAAAAGAAAAATATATATTGCTGGTATACATTTTAACAAGAATGTTTTTGTTGTTTTGTGTGTTCGATGTAAATGCAGATCCCTTGTTGCTTTCAACAGATGTCCAAGCTTTCCTTTCGGTTTTTAAAGGATTCTGCTTGAAGAGAGAGAGAGAGAGAGAGATGGAGGAGGAGAGAGAGAGAGCCACATGCGTGTCCCCTCTCTCTCGCGCGCGCGCACGATAGAGAGTGAGAGAGAGAGAGAGATGGAGGAGGAGGAGGACAGACAGAGAGCCACATGCGCATCCCCTCGTGTGCGCGCGCGCGCGCGCGCAAGAGAGAGAGAGAGAGAGAGAGAGAGAGAGAGAGAGAGGGAGAGAG